TCCAAAAATTTTGTATGCTATACCATGATTGTTTATTATACAGGAACTGTCTTGCAGGATGTCTGAAATTTCTGACCCTTCTCATAAATACCAATAGCCTAGCCCAGTCATTGTTACCAAACACACACTTAATATTCCCAAAATGTCCCTTAAGCCACTGTTCTTCCCCATTAAAAATCATCGCCCTCGTACGTGATTATGTCACCTTGGCTGTATGTTCTGATCAGAATTGAAGTTTTATCACTTGTTTTGTTAGTTTGATAGGTAAAATACCTCAGTTGTTTGGGATTTCTTTGAGTTTCCAGTTTTTTTCTTACCACATAAGAATCTCCTCCCTTTCAATTAACTGCCTCTGAAAACCCTCAAGAGGGTCAGTTATGGGTTGGTTACAACGCGATGGTACACAACATAATAAATGTAATACATTTCTTTATCTTAATATTTTTTGGTCCATACACATGTAGTTAAAATGCCATGTTTGCCTATTACATATATTTTAATATTTTAAACTTGTTTGTTGTGTAATTTCTGTGCCTCTTTACATATTTTTTTAAAACATTTATCCAGTTAGAGTAGTTTTAAGGATTTTTGAGTTAGTAAACCTGTTTTGATTGATCTGTCATAGTGTACTTTTAAAGACATATAAGTCTTCAGAATTTGGAAATATGATACCAAATTAAAAAACCAAACCCGCTGCTGTTGACTCTTAATCTTGCTCACTCTCAATTGATTGCCAATACTGTAACTCTTTCAAGGAGGAAACTATCTCATCTTTTCTCCATGGATCAGCTGGTAGTTTTGAACTATTAAACTTTGAGTTAGCAGCCCAACACAATGCACCACACCAGCAGGGCACATAAAAATAATTGGTACAAGAGTAGAAAAGTAGTTGGACACAACAGATTCCTTTATAAAAGATTTTAATAGAGGACAGTTGAAATTCATAAAAGTCTTCACTTTCTTCATCTTTGGCATTAGTGTTTGGTGTGTAAATTTGAATAAGTTATAATAACACATTGTTGCAAATGACGGCAAATGTGTTTCTAAGCACGGCTGTCAATTTAAAAAGTGTGTGGCAACGTGTTAACTCGTCTTTCTTGTAAGTGTATTGATACTATCCTATCACTGACAACATTGCCCTTCAGAATCTTGAAATGTTCTTTTTGATGAGGAATTTGACATTATTCTTCTTTGTCATTCTTGGTATAGTAGACCATAGAATTGTCTGATTCAGTATGGCCAATACCTATCAGTTTATTGTTGTTACGTGCCATTGAGACAGAACCAAACTTGTAGCTGACCTACCAGTGGGTTTCCGGAGGCTGCAAATCCCACAAAAGATTACCCATCCTTCTTCCCTGGAGCAGTGGGTTGGTTTGAACAGCTTACCTTTGGCCAGGCTGCACAACTTAGTGATTTTTAGATGTTGCATTTCATTTTTGATGACTTCCATTTTGCCTTGATTCATAACTTTGTATAGTTTTTTCTGATTATTAATGAGTATTTACAGATGTTTCTCCATTTTAAGTAATGCCTGATTATCACATGAATGTCTTGCAAGTTTTACTGTATCCATGTTTTTATGGCTGACTCTAGTTTGAGGAGGCCATTCTTTGCTAGTCATATTTTGAGTGTCTTCCAACTTGAGAGATTAAATTTCTGGCACTGTATCAGCCATGCATTTTCTGTGACCCGTTTTTTTTTTCAGGAGGATTTTCTTCAGGTTTGTCTTAGTTTGGAAGCTTTGTTGAAACCTGTCCACTGTGAGTGACTGTTAGTATTTGAAATACCACTAGCATAGCTTCCAGAATGACAACACACTAACCTCTTCAGTACAACACACAGAGAAGTGATGGCATACTAATCATGGAATGAATTATAGATATAGATATATAGATGTATACCTTTTGGTCCAGTAATTTTACACCTAGGTACTTATTCCATAGAAATAAAAGGGCCACTGTTTAAGACTATACGAACAAGAATGCTTTTTGCATCATTTCCTGTGACAGACAGTGGGAAATGAAGTCATTGCCCACCACTGGGAGGTGGTTAAAGAAATCAAGCCATGTCTGTGCCATGGGATATTACATGCCCATTGAGAAGAATTTATTGTATTAGTTGTCTTAGAACAATATGAATGAATTTTTGAAAGGGAAAAAACAAGATCTAGAAGTGTGTTTATTGTAGTTAAAACATAATCCTTGGCTGTGCATTTATACGATCATAATTTAATTAAGAGTGGAGCAAAATATGGGAGGAAACATTGGATGTCCCCATGGAAGGAAGTGAATTATCTATGCAAGGAAGTAAATTAATGTAGGCAGAGAATAAAGTCAAATAGAATATGAAAAGAATGAAAAGCCATGCTAGACAAAATACAAGTATTTTTTTTTTATGTGCTTATGTAAGAGAGGCTATGTAGTGCCTACATGTATATTATATACTGTTTGTATGCTGTATGTGTTTGTGTGCTGGTTAAAAAGATCAAGAAAAAAAATATGTGATGCAAGACATTTTTTGGTGTTTGTTTTTTGATGTAAGACATTTTTTTCTTCTGATGAATATGAATCTTTTTTTAAAAATTTTATTATTTTGTGTGTGTATAACGTCAAATCAGATCTGACTGGTACAGGAAGAGATTGCCCCTCCTTCTCCAGCAGAGGAATATGAATCTTTATCAGAGCTTTCCCCTACTCTTCTGTGTTTGATAGTGTTTCTTTCAGGAGGACACAAGGATATCCTGGGGAATATCTTCTAAATTCTGAGGAACTTTAGTAATTAGTTACATCTACTTTTCTTTGATTTCTAGATGTCTTCTTAGACCCTGCTGAGTCCTCTCTCCTTTGGATTAATTCTGATTAGTCCATCCTGCATTCTTATTTCCCTCTTGATACAGAGATAGGAAGGGACTAGAATATTCTCTCAGTGGCTTTAGCCCAGAATACTATGCAGATTGAATGAGATAAAATTTGGGAATCAAGTGAGGATGTTTCCTCTGGAAGGAAAGAAAGATAATTTGGGAGCAGACTGAATGACTTTGACTTTTAAATAGAGAAGTTTTATCTTATATTCTCTAGGCCTGTGATTCTCAAAATGCCATTTGCTCTTTAAAAAAACAAAAACAAACCAAAAAAACACAACACATCATGGTGTTTGATGAGCTAGAAAAGTGTTCCGGAGTAATAAACTATGCTATTCTCTTTCTAGTTTCAAGAAAAATTAAGGGATATCACTTTCTTAATATAAAAATGAATTATTTTCATGTGTTCTGCTTAAACTTTGCTGACTAGGAAGGGCTAACCTTTTCTTTCTTCTTTTTTTTTTTTTTTATTAATGAAAGTTTTACAGAGACTTGAGATTTCCATTCATTCATTGTTGCACTTTTCTCCCTGCCTTCCCCCCCCGCCCCCCCAGTTTGCTCTTCTTTTTGAAAAGTAAAAGAAAAATTCTTTCATTGTTACATAATCCCTCCTCCCAAGTCCACGCCACTAAGCAGCCTTCATTCTGGATTCCTGTCATGACAATAATACCTAATCACATACCCCTTTTAAACAGTTCTCTCCCTCATCTGTTTCAATGCAGTATACACCATTTATCCCATCTTTCTCAGTCTCCCCCCAGACCCAACGTCAGTTGCGTTTTATAACAGTAGTACTATGTAATATTTGTCCTTTTGTGACTGAGATATTTCATCAGCATAATGTCCTCCAGGGTCACCCGTTTTGTATATTGTATAATATTTCATGAGTTCCTTGTTTTTCAGTGCTATATAGTATTCCCTTGTGTGAATATACTGCAGCTTCTCTAGCCATTCATTTGTTGATGGCCACTTAGGTTGCTTCCAACTCCTTGCTGTTGTGAACAAAGCCATGATAAACATGGATGTGCATATATCTGCTTGGGTGGTGGTTATGGTTTCTTTGGGGTATATTCCCAGTAGTGGAATTGCTGGGTCAAATGATATTTTATTTGCAACTTTTTGAGAAAGTGCCATACATAGTGGTTGCACCATTTTACACTACCACCAACAGTGAATAAGGGTTCCATTTTCTCCACAACCTTGCCAGCATTTGTTGTTTGCTGTTCTGTTAAATTTTGTTATTCTCACTGGGATGAGATGGTATCTCATAGTTGTTAGGCTAACCTTTTTTTTTTTTAAATTTTATTAATTTTAATGAACATTTACAGAGATTTGGGGTTTCCATTCATTCATTGTTGCACTAGGGCTAACCTATTTTAAGTCTTTTCAGGGGTTATGGTTTTGTGGTTTAGTATTTATTTATATTGCATTTTTAGATATTTCATGGAGAATGCATTAGCATAGGGAGTGGTGATACTTGCTATGGTTGAGAGCATGGGCCCAGCAGCCTAACAGATCTGAATGTAAACCCAGCTCTGCCCCATTGTAGTACTGGAAACTAAGAGAAAAAGCAAACCTCTGTATGCTCCAGTTTCTTCATCTATAAAACAGGAGGAATACATTACTTGATATTTATAGTATTGTTTTGAAGATTGTATGAAAAGAATAGCACGCAGTAATACTTGGTAAATGATACCTCTCAATGTATTTTCTAAGAAGCTTGACTTCCTTGTGTTCCACTGTTGGAAGTTTTGAGTGCCACTGCTGCAAGAAGTGAAGCATTCTCAAAGGATTTTATAGTCTAATTTGAAGACATTGGCGAGGAATTGCATAAGTATGTTACTAGCACAGAATAAATACTCAAAATTGCTGATTGAAAAATCTAGGGACTGTGGTTATCTCGAATCTGGTCATTTTATTCTCTTGTACAATAGCCGTATGCTCTGTTTTAGGGCCTCTGGGGGCTCTTTTTGTGGAGGTGCTCAGACAGCTGCCTCTCAGGGCCTGCATTCCCAATAATCTCATCATAAGACTGTTTAGGGACTTCTTTATCTTTCCATGTACAGTGAAAATATGTTTTACTTTGTTAATTTATGTTGATATAATTTGATGTGTAACTATATTTTTCCAGGTGCCGTTTGGATAGTACTTTAGTGGCACGATGTACTCTGAGTGGAGGTCCCTGCATTTGGTGATTCAGAATGATCAAGGCCATACCAGTGTGCTGCACAGCTATCCTGAGAGTGTTGGTCGAGAGGTGGCAAATGCAGTGGTCCGTCCTCTTGGACAGGCCTTAGGGACCCCTTCAGTGGCTGGTAGTGAGTGTTTGTTAAAAACTGACAAAGAGGTAAGTCTTTCTTCATTTAATTCTATTATGCAAAAATAAAATTTGTTATTGAAGACTTCATTTAATGTTGACTCTATGGATTTTTATAAGGACTAGGCTGTACCATTTTGCTACTGGGACATCCTCCAGCCAGGTTCAACTCTTTGCATGTACTCTATGCCCAAAAGTTCAAGGCACAGACTCTTCGCTCTAGGATTGTGCTCTAGGTTAAGTGTTCTGACTGCTTTTTATTTATTTTGTTCTTGTTCTATACTGTCGAGTTGGATCCCACTGGCACAGGAGGAGATTACCCCTCCTTCTCCAGCAGAGCATCTGGTGGATTTGAACTGCATGCCTTCGGGATTGCAGTGCAGCTTTTTGCCACTAGGCCACTAGAGCTCCCTTCTGACTGCTTATTAGAGAGATGTTTGGAAGGTCTTAATTTCTACCCTTTGATGGCTCTTTACTGAAAGCCTGTCTTCTGTCAAGTTTTCAGGTTTTATATATAGGTTCTAGGCTTAACCCATGAGATATATTCCAGAGCAGTTAAAGACTTCTGGCTGTGAGCACAGGTAGTTACAAATGGGGTTTTATCTACTATCCCAGAAGACAGTGGGTTCTTGGAGTGACTTGGCTTGGAGTTGGTTTGCTCTTGGGCTTAGAGTACTAGATGGCTTTTGCCATTTGGAAGTCATGCACAGGCCTTCAGAAGAGTAATATAAGAGCTTGCTGATATGAGGGCTGACAAAAATCTAAGACTAGAACCTTGTCCCTTGTGTTTGTGGAAACGTGTGGAACTTCAGGCTTCGTGTTGATCAAAACTTCTACTCTCTTTCTTTGTCCCTGACTGGATCATAACAGACTATGACTAACATTAACAAGAAATGAAACTCCCAGAGCAATCATGCTCATGTGAAACCTATACCTAGACCAGCAGGCTGTTGTCCTAACAGCAGGGAAACACTGCATGGTTTAAAATCAAGAAAGGTATCTGTTAGGGTTGTAACCTTTCTCCATACCTATTCAGTCTATATGTAGAGCACATCATTTGAGAGGCTGGATTTCATAAAGAAGAATGTGGTATCAGAACTGGAGGAAGGCTTTGATTAATAACCTGCAACGTGTAGATGACACAACATTGCTTGCTGAAAGTGAGGAGAGGACCTTGGGCACTTATTGAAGAATTGCTAAAGACCGCCTTCAATATAGATTGTATCTCAACATCAGAAAACTGGAAATCCTTGGCACTGGGCTGTGGACAACATCATGATCAATGGAGAGAAGATCAAAGTAGTTAGAGATTTCATCTTGCTTGGATTCGCAGTCAACACCGTTGGCATTAGCAGTTAGGAAATCAGAAAAGGGGAAAGATTGCTGTCAGGGACCTCTCCAAGGTACTGAAGAATAGTAGTAACTGTTTGAAAACTAAGCTGCATCGGATTCAAGCTATGATCTTTTCAGTTACTTCCTGTGCATCTGAAAGTTGGACACTGACTAAGGATGACAGTAGAAGAATTGATGCCTTTGAGCTGTGGTGTTGGAGAAGAGTACTGACTACTATCCCATGGATTGCCAAAACAAACATGTCTTGGAGAAGCTGCAGCCAAGGTGCTCCTTAGAGGGAAGGATAGTAAAACTCCATCTCACATACTTTGGACATATTGCTAAGAGAGGCCAGTTCTTGGAAAAGGACATCATGCTTGGAAGGGTGGCAGATAATCTCCACTGAAAAGAGAGGAAGACCCACAATGAGATGGATTGACACAGTGGTTATGACAGTGGACTCATGTATATTAGGGATGGTGAAGAGGGCACAGGTAGGGCAGGGTTCAGATCTACTGTTCATAAGGTACCTATGACATAAAATAACAATAAGCTGGAGCATTTAAGAGATTGTGAGGATTGGCACAGAATGAGCAAGGTTCCAGACTGTTGCTTGTAGGGTTGCTATGAGTCTTCACTCAGTGGCAATAATAAAACAGTAACACAAAATAACAACAATAATACAGATCTCCGAAGGAGGAAATTGTGTATCTTTCTCCTGCAGGGCTGCTGGTGGATTTGAACTGCCTGAGATGAGAAGCCTTTGGGTTAGCAGCTCAACTTGCTACAGATCATGCTACCAAAGCTTCATGTATTTAAAATACATTTTGTGAAATCGTTAATCTGCCAGTGCAGTCCAGAGCAGGACAATAGAGATGGGAGTCTTATTCCCATGGCCTTTAGTTCAGACGATGAAGGAGCTCATGTGTACCCCTGGGACCATATGGCTAGAAAACAAGATTCCAAAAGTTGTTTGGGTTTGTTGTTTTTTTTTTGTCTCTGTTTAGCAGGGAGTCTGGGTGTGGTCCTGCCAGCCCATACCTGAACAGAGCTTCCCAGGATATGGCCGGGCTGGACAGGGCAGCACTTTTGAGTTTCTGTCCAAAAAGTTTGTCATCCTTTTAGTTTTGTGATATTTATAATGGTCAGAATGTAATCGGCTTATCTTTCCTCCCTAATTTAAAATATTGATTTGGCCTTTAGCATGCCAATGAGAAGCATTAATCCATTTTTATCCTCTTATTTAGTGTTTCAACCAATTAGAAATCCAATTATTCTACTTTCTTCTGTGCCATCCTACCAGTAACATGTTCACAAAGACATTTGGCCTGCATCTGACAAAATTTCTTCTTTTTAAAGCCCTAAACACCTTTTTGCCAGGGAAGAATGTTAATGATACAGTGAAAATAGTTTTAGAGTTACATACTTACTCTTCACTTAACAGCCTAGGTAGGGTTAAGTGCCAAAAGCCAAATTGTTATTTGAAAATTCTTCATTAAGCAGAAATGGAAGATGACTACATCATTGTATAACTGTTACAGTACATCATTGTATAATTTCAGACTACAGAGAATCATGACCTTGCCAAGTCGACAGTTAAACTTTACCATAGCAATCCTTGCACCTCGGCATTTATTACTGCCAATTTTGTATCATTAATGTGCAAAATAGTAGAAAAGCAGATTATTTTTTTTAACTGCTGTTATGCCTGTGAAATGTTGAATTATAAGATGGTAAATGAGGACCAGGAAGACCATAAAAAGCTCAGATGGCCTAGGAATTGTATTACTAATCTGAAGACCTGCAGTTTGAATTTACCATCTGCTCCATAGGAGACAGATGAACAGTTTCTTCCCATGTAATTTACAGCCTCTGAAAATTTCCTGGCAGGTATGCTGTGAGTTGGCTTGGACTTGATAGCTTGAATTTTGAGGAAGGCTTTTAGACTCACAACTAGAATAATGATAACAATAAACTAGAATAAGTTTGGTGGCATAGTGTGTAATTTGTCAGGTGGTTAAATGAAAGCTTGGCAGTTTGAATCCACCATCCTTTCTGTGGGAGAAAGATGGGCAGTCTCCTCCAATAAAGATTTATAGTCTTGAGACCTTGACAGTCACTGTAAGTTGGAATGGAATCCACCATCCTCTCTGTGGGAGAAAGATGGGCAGTCTCCTCCAATAAAGATTTATAGTCTTGAGACCCTGACAGACGGTCACCGTAGTTGGAATCAATTTGATAGGTTTGGTTTTAGTTTTATTTGTAACCTAGTGATTTGAGGCAACTTGCATAGTCTTTCTAGGTTTTAGGGTTTTTTTTTAAAAATTGGTTATAAAGTTTTGGTAATTCCCCTTCTCACACAGTGTTTTTGTGATTGTTTAATGATATCCAGGAAAGTGCTTTGTACACTGTAAACACAATAGAATTCGCTGTCTTGATACTAACAAAGGTAATAAAGGAATGAAGCTCTTCAGGTGTGACTTGTTCTTTTTGAGCATTTTGGTTCTCACATATTATCTCCTTATTAATTTGGCCTAGACTTTTGCCTGTAATTCACTTAAGCTTTTCACTCTACAGTACCTGGAATACATTTTAATCTCCATTGGAAATTTGGTATATTTTCCTTTCCTGATAACATCTTTGTGTTCTTTGTGACTGCAGGCTCCAGTTACCTATCTCTTTGGACAAAGTCTCTCAGCCCTTAGGGTGTGATTCAAATGAGTTAGGAGGTGGAAATTTATTTCATGTAGCTTTGTGTTCTGTTATGATCACAACCAGCTTCAGTCTCTTGTCATCTGTATTTTTTATCCCTTCCCATTCTAAAATATGTTCCTTGATGGGGACAAAGTGAAAGTTGGATGATTGAAAAGTCTTCCCTGTTAGTTAACTTTGCATAATCTAAAAGTTGAAATATGATTGAATTTAGGTAAATGATTCTCTGAAGACACACATATCTGTTTGCAAATTTAAGTGATGAATAAATTTAAAAATCTATAATTTTCTTTTTCTGTTCCTACATTCTCTAAGAAAATGTTAAGACACACCTCAGAGGTATTCCAGATTTCTGAATCCAGATTCCAGATCACTGAATAAAGTGAATATTAACATAAAGAGTCACATTTTTTAAATGTTCATATGCATGTTAAAGTTATATTTACACTAAACTGTAGTCTTTAAGTGTGCAGTAACATGATGAAAGATTTAAAATAAAGTGAGAATTATTAAAATGTGTTGTTGTTGTTGTTGATTGCCTTCGAGTTGAGCATGACTCATAACGACCCTATGAACAAAAGGCCTGTCGACATTTATCAAAGTTCATAAGAGTTTCCGGAGGTACGTTATTTAGGAAGTGGGGGCCACTCCTGCTTCCAAATGTGACAGAGACAATAAATGAGCATAATCAGTTGGGAAAATGATGCCCTGCAATTGGAGCTTCTACATGTGCTTTAGGAAGTCATAGGTGAAGTCCATATAATAGACTTGTTCATTAGAGATTTGCCCAAAACCTGTTTGTGTAAGAGACAATATCAGTGAAGTAGTTGCAGTAGGACAAAGTACAAAAAAACTTGCTTTTATTTACTTTATGTTCTTATTTTTATTTCACAGAGCAAACGATAGTGCCTAAAGGGTAAAAACAAGTGTAGGCTTGATATTTAAAACTGAGTCATTTTCTTAAATCTTTTGCTTGTTTTGAGTACATCTGATAACACGGAAAGTGCATTCACTTGAATAAATCTGATGCATGGAGATGAATATACTTTCAATTTAGACATTTTTAGCAATAAAAGAAGTTAACATTTTAAATCAGTCTACTGAAACTGAGATATTAGAAAGATATGCTTGGTAATTTTGTATGTATATTTTCCTTTCTTTAGGTAAAATGGACCATGGAAGTAATTTGCTATGGACTAACCCTTCCATTGGATGGAGAGACTGTAAAATACTGTGTTGATGTTTATACAGATTGGATTATGGCTTTAGTGTTGCCGAAAGATTCTATTCCATTGCCAGTTACTAAAGAGCCTAATCTGTATGTCCAAAGTATATTAAAACACCTTCAAAATCTTTTTGTACCAAGGTAAGCTATTCCTGAATATCCTGTTATTAGAATCATGATAAAATATGATTGTAGTTGTTACATGCCATCAAGTTGGAACCACCTTGTAGCTGACCCTTCAATGTATTTTTCAGAGGCTGTAAATCACACAGGAAGAGATTGCCCATCTTTTTCCCTTGGGGCAGCAGCTGAATTTGAACCACATACCTTTGGGTTGGCAACGCAGCCTTTTGCCCACTAGGTCGTGAAGTCCCTTATAATATTAATTTTAAGCAATAAAGAGATATAATTTTCTATATTCACAAAAATATTTTAGCAGGTATAGATTTTAAAAATTCTTGGTTTTGCATTTAAGATTTGATAGTTGTGACCTTTTCCCCTTCTATTAACTACCGCCTTCTGCTCACCCCCTAAAACATTCCCCTAGCAATAAGAAGCCTTGCTTGACCATTCAGACCTTCAGTGTGGCATTTTTTCCCAGAATTTATGTACTACTTCCTATATAACTCCTTTGTGAACGCTATTGTTTCGTTGCCTATCTTTTAAAATGTGTGTATCTTATTTTTCCCATGTAGCCAATGTGGAGCAGGGACTGGGTAGCATGTATTTTGGAACCTGATGCAGTACTGGTAGTTCTTAGGTATAAATTAAACGGTTTGTTCTTGTAATTCTCAAGTGGTTCACTTGAAAAATAAGGAGAAAGTCTGGATTGGAGTTCTATTGTCTGCTCGATCCTAACCACAATACTTTTAATTTTTTTATAGATTGATATTCTCTAATATTTTCCTCTGGAAAAATTTGTCCTATAGTCTAGAGAGAGTTCTTTTGGGAAACTCCCATTTTGTGTTGCCTTTTTACTAGAGCAATAACAGCACAAGCTCGTTTCTGAAGGCAGTCAACATGCTTGCCCGTTCTGGGGCTCCCCTGGGATATTCTGTGTGATTTGTTGGCTTTTCTCTGGCTGATAGCAGCTTGAATGCAACTGTGACCACCATGAATTTCCATGCAGAATCCTAGTGAAAATAGGTTTTAAAAGAATTATGAACACAAAGACCATGCTGTTTCAACATGAGCAGCAACAATGGCTGTGGTTATTTTCATTCATTCATGAGAAACCTACTGTGCATTCTTCTATTATGTGCCAGGCTTTTAGAAAATTTTAGAGGACCTGGAGGTAAAGCCTACTTTCTAGTACTCCCTTCTGTTCTTTAAGAGCATTCCAGGATCTTTTAGGAGTGTTATATTGAGATTCAGATGGCCAGATTGTTTTACTGGAGCAGAAGTAGCTTTAAACTGAAGAAGGATATGTCTTTTCCTATCTGTAACTGATTGGGAACTTCATCAGGACCACTATTTACTGCATCCCTAAGTTGTCCTTAAAGCTGTTGTCATCTTTCTGCAAGGCCTGTCCTTGACATCTTTCTGTCTTCTTCAGACAGGAACATGGCTCCAGTCAGATCCGATTGTGCTTGCAGGTTCTGCGAGCTATCCAGAAACTGGCCCGCGAATCATCCATCATGGCCCGAGAAACCTGGGAAGTGTTACTTCTGTTTCTTCTGCAGATAAATGATATACTTCTGGCCCCACCAACTATTCAAGGTTTGTTTGGTTTTTTTCCCCTCTAATGTGGGGTTTTTTCCCCTCTTCTCTAGTATGTTTTTGAACTTCAAATATAGTTCATTTTTAAACTTATTAAGAATAGACATCTTGTTGTTGTTGTTATGTGCTGTTGAGTTGCTTGCGACTCATAGTGACCCTATGTACAGGAGCCTTAAATCCTGCTCTATCCCTTGCCAATCTTATTATCTCTGATGCACCTTTCCCCATTACCCCAATGACTAAATCAATCCATCTCATCAAGGGGCGTCTTCTCCACTGTCCCTCCACCCTCCCAAGCATGATGTCCTCCAAGGACTGATCACACTTTACAACATGTCTAGAGTATGTCAGACAAAGTTTCAGAATCCTTGCCTCCAAGGAGCAGCCTGGCTTCACCCTCTCCAGGATGAACTTGTTTGTTCTCCTAGCAGTCCATGGTATATTCAGTACTCTTCTCCAGCACCATAGCTCAAAGGCATCAGTTCTCCTTCAATCATCCCTAGTCATCGTCCAGCTCTCTGATGCATAGCAAGCAATTGGAAAGACCATGGCCTGTATCAGGTGCACCTTAGTCTCCAGACTGACATCATTGCTCTTTAGTACTTTGGAGAGGTCTCTGACTTTCCCAGTGCAATTTGTCTGTTAATTTCCTGGCTGTTTGTACCAAGAATGTTGACTGTAGAGCCAAGCAAACAGAAGTGTCAACAATCTCAATCTCTTCACCATCTGTCATGATGCTGCCAGTCAGCCCAGTGGTGAGAATCTTTGTTTTCTTGATGTTGAGTTTTACCTCATATTGAAGGATGCAGTCTTTGACCTTCTACAGCAAGCGCTTCAGGTCCTCTTCAGTTTCAGTAAGCAGGGTTGTGTCATCTGCATAACACAGATTGTTGATGAGCCTACCTCCAATCCTGATGCCCCACTTCTCCTCATAGAGCCCAGCCTCTGGATAATCTGTTCTGCATATAGATTGAAAAGATACAGAGATTGGACACATTCTTGACACACACCCTTCCCGATTTTACCTATGCAGTGTTTCCTTGCTCTGTTCTGACGACTGCCTCCGGGTCCAAGTATAGGTTCTGCATAAATATAATCAAATGTTCTGGGATTCCCATTCTTCTCAGAGTCAGCCACAATTTGTTGTGATTCACACAGTCAAATGCCTTTGCATAGTCAATGAAACACACAGACATCCCTCTGGTACTCTTTGTTTTTAGCCAAAATCCATCTAACATTAGCTGTAAAATTCCTAGTACCATGGCCTCTTCTAAATCGAGTCTTCACTTCAGGCAGTTCTCTGTTGAAGTGCTATACCAGTCATTTTTGGATAATCTTCAGCAGAATCTTGCTTGCATGAGATATCAGTGATACTGTTCGATAATTTCTACACTCTGTCAGGTCACCTTTCTTTAGACTCCATAGGAATTTAAATTTTGACATGACAGTTGACAAAACATAGTGCCCTTAAAGGTACAGTAAAACTTTATCATTTTATGAATTTAAGGAGAGACTCGGTAAAGGAATGCACATCTGATACTTATAGGAACAATAACTTATTTTGTTTACTAGGATAAAACCTATAGAGAAAGAACCGGATTCCAAAGTAGTTATCAAAGTAGAGTCTGGAAACTTGAAAGCAATGGAAATTGTATTCAACAAATGAAACCTCCAAAGTCTTAGTGTCTTATTTGGGATTGTGACAGTATGCCATTTATTAGGGAGCCATATTGTTGTTTTCTGCTGTTGAGTGGGAGCCAACTTGAAACTGACCTTCATTGGGTTTTCAGAGGCAGTAAATTGCATGGCAGGCATTTCCAGAATTTCTCCTGAGGAGCAGCTGGTGGATTCACACCGGTGCTTTTGTGCTGGCAACACTGTTCTTTATCACTAGGCTACCAAAGCTCTCTAGATAGCCATAAATGCCTCCAATTTTACAAAAGTTTTGAGGAGATTTCAGAACACTGGGTTGTATGTTATATATAAGTTATAACTTAATATTCTGATTCTAAGTTCCCTTATTGCTTATTTAGAATATGGAATGTGCTTGTACTCTCACACAGATGCAGTGTTGAGGGAAGTAAATGTTTCCTGACATTTTAGTGTTGGAAAGGACCCCATAGTAGCATACCCTGTCTGGTCTCACTAAAAGCTTTTAGTCAGTCTTGATTCTTCAGCTGTCTGCTGCATGCTTTTCATGCCAACATTCTCCAACATAGGCAGGGAGTTCATCTGTTCATTAGGCTTTTTTGTTGAAACTTCTTTTATTCATTTGAGAGAGCACTGAATCCTAACCAGTAGACCACCAGAGATACTCATTTGAAATATACATCTGTAAAACTGCATAATATTCCTAGCTTTGTCTTCAGTTGTTCTTAGTTCTGGGGCTCAGAAAAGAGGACTAGTTCCATTTTCATAGAGGTTTCATAGGTTGAAACTTTTGCCAAGCACTAGTGTCTTTGCCAGTTCTTTGCCTCTCCTTTCCATGAATAATGGTGTTCAAACACCTAAAACATTAAATTACAAAGTTTGGAGATAGACCTTGGATCCTTGCCCTGATTCTTTCTCTTACTGGCCTCATGAACTTGGGTAAGTTACTTAAATATCCTGAACCAGATTTATCATCTTCAGAATCCTAATAGGCTTTCAATATCTATCTTGCAAATTAATGTGAAGATCATGTGAGGTCATATATATGAACTGTTGACAAGAAATGGACTCATACTAGATATTCATTGGAACAATTAATACTTTTCCTTTCTCCCCCATGTCCCCTTTACCGGGAGATTAAAATCTTCAATAAGAGCCTAACAGGGCAACTTACAGATTTTAAAGTAATAATTTGCTCGTCTGTCTATAATTTCCTTTATAAAAGTTCCAAAGCATAGTTAATAATTTTTACTATTAAGTGGTTACTTGAAAGTCACAGCTTAAAATTGGAGCTATTATAATGTTTTAACCAGTTCTCTCAAGTCAGTAAAAATTCAATTTTTAAAGTAAGTATGCCAAAAATATGTTTTCTTTTTATTGGTAAGGTGGCATTGCCGAGAATCTAGCAGAGAAGTTGATTGGTGTTCTCTTTGAGGTTTGGCTCCTAGCTTGTACTCGGTGCTTCCCAACACCTCCTTATTGGAAAACAGCCAAGGAGATGGTGGCCAATTGGAGGCACCATCCAGCAGTGGTGGAACAGTGGAGCAAGGTCATCTGTGCGCTCACTTCAAGGTCAGTTATTGTACTTGACTTTGTCCTTCCTTCTGACTTTAGTGGACTTTTCCTTAGTACTGTATCTGCCTAAATCTTGTAGCATACATTGAAAAGAAGCTGTACTTTAGATACAGAACTGTTTAAAGGGATATATGAATGGGTATTCTTGTAATTACAGAATTCCAGAATGAAGTGGACTTGGGGGAGGATTGCATAACAATGAAAGAGTTTTTCTTTTTTTCTTTTCAAGGAGAAGAGTGAATTGGGGGGAGGAGGTGGGCAGGGAGAAAAGTACAACAAAAATGACTGAAAACCCTAAGTCTCTTTAAACTTTCCTTTAAATTAAAAAAAAAAAAAAGAAGTGGGGGAAAAAAATTTCCTCAGTACTTTACTGTAAAAATGTTGTTTATATGCATACTTTATATACAGTTTTAAAAATGTCTCTGATTATTTTATTAAGATATCCCTAAGTATAGCATAATTAGGTCAGAGGACTTTGAACAGTTTTAATACATTTAAAATGTTATTAAGTTTAGTAGTTGAATAGTTGACTTAAATGGCTTCTTAAAAAACGTTATTGTTGAAAATATATACAACTCAACATAGACCAGTTCAGTTGTTTCTACTGTCCACTTCAATGACATTGATTACATTCTTCAAGTTATGCAACCACTCTCAACTTCTTTCTTCCTCCATTAACATACATGTACTGCCCTCTCAGATTGCTGACTAAGTTTTCAATTTACTGTGGTCACATACGTGCTATCATTGCTGCCTTTTTACAGTTAAAGTAATGGGATTGTATCTAATGAGCTGTTTACACTTTGCTCTCACATACATAGTTCTTAACAGAGCATTATATACTTAAGGCAGGAAATTTTATACTCCTTAAGCTAAACTATGGTTTTAAGAAGACTTCAGGAGATATTTTCAGTGTTATGCTTTAAAGATTTTCTCAGAGCAGTAGTTTCAGAGATTAGTCTAGCCTCCATGGATGGCTCTAGAAATTTTGGAATCTGCACATGGAGCTTGGGTGGTTTTTTCAACCTTTCAGACCCCAGTCTCTACACAACAAATGAAGAGGTAGAAAAACTAAACATGTCATTAGACCAGTTAACTGGGATGTCTCATCCCATGAGTGAACCTCCAAACCAATAAACAAAATCCCACAATGTTTTTTTTTAGTTGTACATTTACAGCCTTGGTAGCGACTGACTGTTTAGTGACCTGAGGTCTTTTGGGATTGGTGGCGGTCGTTGATATAAAGTGTTGAATTACTTTATTTTTTAAATTTTATTAATTTTAATGAACATTTACAGATATTTTGGATTTCCATTCATTCACTGTTGCATTTTTCTCCCTGCTCACCCTTCCCCCAAAGTTCACTCTTCTCTTTGAAAAGTAAAATTCCTTCATTGGTATACAGTCCTCCTCCCCTGACCCCCCAAGTACACTCCACTGTGCAACCTTCATTCTGGACTCTTGTCATAACCATAATACCCAATCATATATTGCTTTTAAACTGTTCTCTCCCTCATCTGTTTGGATCACTTTTTAAGATGAACCATAAGCTTAAGCATCAAAGCAGCTTGTATATAGTCACATACAAGTCAGTAGTATAAATACATTACTGTTATGTTGAAGGAGTTTTCAGTGAGCTAAGTTTTTTCAAAGTGTAAAATTACTTTTCTGCCTTTCTGTTTATTTATTTTTTTAATTTTATTAGTGTGTGTGTGTGTGTGTGTGTACACCATCAAATTGGATCTGACTGGTACAGGAGATTGTCCCTCCTTCTTCAGCATAGCATCTTGTGGATTCGAACTGTGCACCTCTGGCTTTCTGTTTATTTTGCAAGCTAGTATTTTATATATCTTATTCACTTCAGTAAGGTACATATTTCATCTGTTTTACTGTACTTTAATGCTTGAATACATCTTTCTGTTTAAAGTTAATTTGATGATGGGCATTTTTTAATTTTCTAGATTGCTACGCTTTACGTATGGTCCTTCATTTCCTCCATTCAAAGTTCCTGATGAGGATGCCAGTCTGATACCTCCTGAAATGGATAATGAGTGTATTGCACAGACATGGTTTCGGTTTTTACATATGTTAAGGTACTATTATTATTGTATATATTGTATACCATAAGTCTTAGTGAAAGAACAGCCATGCTGTAATTGTTCTGCAGTTCAGAATGTGGACCTCAAATGCAGCCACTCTGGACCTCAAGCACATGTATGTCATGTGCTCTTGCTTTCACAGGCCCAGGAGCGTTAAGTATTGACAGCTGCTCTGTCTGCAGCTTGTTCTCGGCAGCGGATGTAGCATTTTTCCCTTGCCTCTTGCTGCAGGCTGAGTGTGGTGTGTGTCCCAGCACTGTCAAGTACTGTGCCCTGGTTCTCTCTAGCTCACACTTACTTGGTGGTCCTCCTTTGTCTTATTTAGACTCTCATAGAGCTGTACACTCCTTCTTACTTCTGCTATCATTTTCCTGTATAATAATTCTGTGCAGTTCACCTCCACCACTTCCTGCCTCGCTCTCTATTGGTCCCATCCAAGTACTCTATGAAACTTCTTTTTTTGTGAAATAAGTTTTTAGTCTTAATCTTTCTTAATTTTTCTTTTCGCATTCTCCCCTAAGGATACCACTTTCTTTTGTGATTTATACCCTTGGAAACCTACTGGATGGTCAGCTTTGAGTCAGTTCTAACTCAGTGGCAATAATTTTCTCCAGGTCTGTCTTAACTCCTTTCCATTAAGGTCCTAGCATCTGACTCTCATTCACCAGGTTCTGTGCAGGGGATGCAGCTTTCACTTGGTTGACTTTTCTGATACTTTGGCTTTAGTAATTTGAACTCTTTATTCTAATTCACCATCCTGCTTCAGCTGCCCAACAACACTGTCTTGGCATTGCTTGGCATTGCGTTGCAATACCATTTATTAAGTAACGCTCTTTACCTCCAGATTTTTGAAAAGCTTTCTCTGAACACTATTTTATGAAGCTTAAGAAAACGTTAGTTTTAAATAGTATTATTATTTACCTTTTTAAAACAAAAATATTCTGCCAGTTAATTATAATTCCAGAGACATTGAAATGTGACAAAATGTGAGTCTTCTTCTTTTGAGTTTTTCTGTTCAATGGTGGTTTTTTTTTATTCTGTTAACTTATGATTGTTATTATAAAATACATAGGCTCAAGTTTTAGAATAAAATTTGCTACTTGCTGTCCACACAAGAAGGATGTAGTGAGGATAACACCAGGGGAGTACATTGTGCATCCCCAGCCCAAGCATTCACTCTTAACCTCTAGGTTAGATTCCCTCCTCCCATTTATGAGATGGGTCTTACTCTCTTTCTCTTATCTTCCACTTTGCCCTGATGGCTTTTTCCAAGGACTGATCCCTCCTGACAACATGCTCAAAGTATGTGAGACTGAGTTTTGCCATCCTTGCCTCTACGGAGCACCCTGGTTACACTTCCTCGAGGAAAAACTTGTTTGTTCTTTTGGCAGTTCATGGGATATTCAGTATTCTTCTTCAGCACTGCGGTTTAAAGGAATTGATTCTTCTGCTTTGCTCCGCATACAGATTGAATAGATAGGGAGAAAGGATACAACCCTTTCCTGATTTTAAACCATGCAGTGCTCCCTGGTTCTCTTCAGTCAGCAGCTTCTTGGTCTCTATAAGATTTTGCCTGAGCATAATTAAGTGTCCTGGAATTTCCAGTCTTCTCAATATTATCCATAGTTTATTGTATTAGTGGTAGCTAATGTACTCTAGCCTTTTTATACTTCACAGAGAATAATAATTTTCTATTTTTTCATCCAGCTTGTAGTAGTAGTTAATTTTAACTTTCAGTATTTGTTTTTGAAACTTTGTGTAATCATTTGTATCACTTTTAAGGTCAGGAAGTCTTTTGGTGTTCTCTGGTCAGATAAATATTCACCTTCTTTCATTTTGTCAACTTTGTAGCATTAAGTTCTCTGTATGCTAGATAGAAATCTGCCTTTGAGTCTAATATTTACCCCTAAATCTTGATATTTATTCTTTTTGTTATTGTGATTGGAGTAAATGTTTACAAGGCAAATTCAACCATTCATACACTTTTTTTTACATTAATTAGTGATATTACATTCTTCTTGCTTCCTCCCTGTCCTTTCATTTCCATTAATCCTTTTATTCCTTCTGCCTTCTGAGCTCTATTCCCTGAACAGATACTACATTTTTTATCTTTAAGGGATTGACTGCTGCAGTGGACTCTTGTGTGTCAGGAAGTGTGAGGATGGGACAGAATAGAACAGGGTTCAGATCTTTTGTTCATAGGGTTCTGTGAGTTGTACTTGACTCAGTGGCACCTAACAAAAACAACAACATGTGATTGATTATTCTATTTCTCTTTATTCTTTTCTTTTGGTCTTTCTTTATTCTTATATGCTAGATTCATACTTTAGATTATTTTATCTTTATAATGCCCTTGATGTTAATGGGCCTAATGTCATGGTCTCTTTTTCCTTCTCTTACAGAGAAATAATGAAAATATTGTATATGTAGTAATAGTGATATAATACTACAATTATGTAATGATTGTAATAAATGTAATAAAATATTATTTGCCAGTGTTGTGGTATTCCATTGAATTAGGACTGACCCATAGCTGAACCTACAGTGGGTTTTCAGAGGCAGTTAATCACACAGGAGAACATTGTCCGTCCCTATTCCATGTAGCAACTGGTGAATTCAAACCACGTGCCTTTGGGATTGTAGCACAGCTTCTTATTACTAGACCACCAGAGCTCCCTGTATGCCAATAGCCTGTATAGTAATAGACTATTTTTAGGTCATTTGCCTGCTTAACATTCCAGATGAATTTTAGAATCCATTTATCAGATGACAAAATGGAAGCAAATAATAATATTACCCACAAAACATTTTGTCCCTTGTTTCCTCATTTCTGGAATGATGAACTGTAATCCCCAGCAGACATTGCTGAGTGTGTTTATCTCTTCTCTGTCCCACATGACTTATGTAGGGAAACCATATTTTATAAGTATGCTGCCACAAGTCCATTTTCCATACATGGACACGAGTAATAAGAAATTAAGAGCATTTCAGTAGATGGAAAGGAGATTTCAGAGGTCAGGGCACATATAAACCAGTGATTTTTATTTCTCAGCTTGGTTCCATTGACTCTCAAAACATGGACAGCTCTTTCTCTTGGGCTTGGATCAGGTGGCAGCCAAGTTCTATAACTTAGCCATGGCCACAATCAAGGCTCGGGACCTTCATGGCAAGAAGAAGGAGGAGCTGTTGAAACAGCTGGATCATCTGAAAGCAGAACTTTCCCAGCTGCGTCAGAGTGACCGGTGGTGTGGCTTCTAAGCACTCCAAAATCCAAGTTGTCCGAAAATCCATTGCCCGTGTTCTCACTGTTATTAACCAGACTCAGAAGGAGAACCTCAGAAAATCCCATAAGGGCAATAAGTACAAACCCCTGGATCTGCGGCTGAGGAAAGCACGTGCCATGCGCCGAAGGCTCAACAAGCATGAGGAGAACCTGAAGACCGAGAAACAGCAGCTAGAAGAGCGCCTGTACCGCTGCGGAAATGTGCAGTCAAGGCCTGAACTTCTTAAATAAATGAAACACAAAACTAAAACAAACAAACAAAAACATGGACATTCCTTTCTGGTATTGAGTAAAGGCTTATTATCAGTATTATGTTGTGTTTAAGAGGCTGTTTAATGAGCAGCTAAGGAGATTCTCATTGTTTTGGAGCTAGATGGCCAATTCTTCTTTCTAGTCTCTTAATGCAGGTCCTTTCTTGCAGCCTGTCCAATATGGGTAACCTTTCTGGTATTTAAGACACTGATGGCACAGATTATAGTATTAGTCAGAAAAGTACTTTACTAATAGGAAATAATAATAATAACAACAACAACAACTCAGCTTTATGAACTTTGCAGAGGCATTTGACTGTGTAGATCATAACAAATTATGGCTAGCATTGGTAAGAATGGGAATCTCAGAACACTAAATTGTGCTCATGAGAAATCTATGCCTAGATCCAGAAGCTGTTGTCCAAACCGAGCAAGAGAACACAGCGTGGTTAGATCGGGAAAGGTGTGTCAGGTTTCTATCCTTTCTACGTACCTATTCAATGAGTATACTGAGCAAATAATTCACAAAGCTGGACTTTTAGGAATGTGGCATGAAAATGAGAGGAAGTTGTATCAACAGCCTGCATTACACAGAAAACGTAATTTTGCTTGCTGAAAATGAGGACATGAAATGCTTGTTGCAGAAAATCAAGGACTACAGTCTTCAGTATGGATTACATTTCAACATCAAACAAATAAAGATCTTCACCACAGGACCAACAGTCAACATAATGGTAGATGGAGAAAAAGGATTGTGGCTGTCAGTGATTTCATCTTAGATTAACAATCAACACCCTTGGTACCAGCAGTCAGGAAATCCGGAAACTTACTGCTCTGGGCAAGTCTGCTGTCAGGGCCTCTCCAAAATACGAGGAATGATCATCAGTTTGAAGACTAAGGTATTTTCAGTTGAGACCAAAGTCTTCTCAGCCACCTGTTATGTGCATCAGAGAGCCGGACACTGAATATGAAGGACAGACGAATTGATGCTTTTGAGTTGTGCTGGAGAAGAGTACTGAATATCCCATGGACTGGCAAGAGAACAAATAGGTCTTGGAAAAAATGCAGCCACAATGCTCTTTGGAAGCAAAAATGATGAAGCTTTGACTCATACTTTGGATATGCAGCTACGTGGGGCTGTTCTTTGAAAAGGAGCATCATGCTTGGAAGGCTGGAGGGTCAGTGAAGGAGAGGAAGATCCCCAGTGGGATGGATTGACACAGTGACTTCAGCAGTGGGCTCTACTGTGTCATATAATAATGTCAGCTCAGGATAGGTCAGTGTTTACGTTCACTGTTCATAAGGTTGCTATGACTTGTACTTGACAGCACTTAACAATAAGTAGATAATTAGTTTCTGTAGAGATCTAAGAATTTACAGTGGAAATCTTTAACATTATTTTGTACATAAAATAAAACTCACTTCCAAATATTTTATGACTTTAGTATGTAGCATGAGCATAACATAAACTTTAGCACTGAATCTTGATTGTATATAACTTTTAAAAACATAGTTTAAAAAATATTTAAAAATACTACTGTTAAAAAAATACTGTTGGTGATGTACGATTTTCTCCTTTGGTTTTATGTTGAGTTTTTCTGTTTCATTTCTTTATTACAAACATACTAGAAAAAAAAACCCATATATATGTTTATTAACAAAAATGTTTTCGTCTTACCCTGATTCTTTGCCTAACTTTGATTGTTATTCTCTGTGCAGATAAGTCAACTACACATACTATAAATTTTTTGTAAAGTCTTAAGGTTTGAATCCAAGAAATTGGCACAGACTATCTTGTTTTTTTTTTAAATTGTGGTTCATGGATTTAATTGCTAAATAGATTTCATAATGTATAATTAATTGTTTTCTTTCTTTTGATAGTAATCCTGTGGATTTGAGCAATCCAGCCATTATAAGCTCTACTCCAAAATTTCAGGAACAGTTCTTGAATGTGAGCGGAATGCCACAAGAATTGAATCAGTATCCCTGCCTTAAACATCTGCCTCAAATTTTTTTTCGTGCCATGCGAGGAATCAGCTGTTTAGTGGATGCATTCTTAGGTGAATTATGTACTTGTTTCTAGATCTTTAGCAAGACCTTTAAATAAATCTAGAATAAAATTCTAGAAATGATTAAAGAAAAAAATCGAGCCAATTTAATTACAGCTCGAATGATCACAGATCACAAACTGGGGAAAACTATTTGCAACGATTATGATAGCTAGAGGGTTTTTATTATCTTTATATACATAGATCAAGCAAATTGGTAAATAAGATTAAAACCTAATAGAAAAATGGACAAAAGATTTGAGTAAATGATATGCAAGAGAGAAAAGTGTTCATTCCTCTATCTCAGAAAATAATACAGCGAAGTTATAGATTAAAATGCATTTACTACCATTCTCATATCACTGTAAAGTAGGTTGTAATATTTATGAACCTCTGAAAAGATTTATCGTATTTTAGAAATAGAAAAAGTCCGAATTTTTTTAACTCTGAAACTCAAAACACTACTGTTGAGTTGATTCCAACTCATGGTGACCCTCCATTGTGTTTCTCAGGCCACCCATTAGCAGTTACATTTAGTATCTGTTACATGAATTCGTTAATACATTACAGAGTTAGTATATTAGGATTAAATTTTGCTGCCACATCACAAATACCGCTATATACCAATGGCTTAATTAAGCAAGATAGTTAATTTTTACGTACATTGAGCCCAGTGCTAAGCAATACATAGTTGGTATAGAAGTTCTACCTTCATCTAGGATCTCAAATCCCTTGTATCATATTGCTCTCCGTCTTCCATGCGTTGCCTCCTGAGCCAAATGGTTGAATGAGTCCCAGCTGTCCTGTCTTGGAATTAAGAAGGAGATCCTATATCTAGTTATCTGGTCCTTTTAAGGAGGTTTCTTGGAAAAATTTACCCACTTTTGTCTAGTCAGACCATGACCACATCTAAGCAACCAAAGAAGCTAGAAAATATATTTGTTCTGGATAGCCATTTTGTGTTCTGTTCCCCAGAGGGAAAAGGGTGAATGAATATTGGGGGGAGTTGGCAGTGTGTGCGTCAGTTTATTTCACTGATTTTGCCTGAGGAAGATTTTTCAGACGATGTATTTTGAACCATGATGAGTAACTCTGTTTGTCTTTCTTTTAAAGGCATTTCCAGACCCCGATCAGACAGTGCTCCCCCAACCCCTGTGAATAGATTAAGCATGCCTCAGAGTGCTGCTGTCAATACCACGCCACCACACAGCCGGAGGCACCGAACCGTTACTGTGAATAAGGCCACCATGAAGACCAGCACGGTAAGTAAGCGTTTCCATCACTGTTGTTATGCAGCATAAGGTTGATGTTAATTGTGCCATTCTTGTGAGGAAATCTTGGCATTTTCTCAGTCTTCATAGACGTGTGGGGATTCTTTTGTTCTTCTAATAGGTTAGTACTGCTCACGCGTCGAAAGTTCAGCACCAGACATCCTCCACTTCCCCTCTGTCAAGTCCAAATCAGACTAGTTCAGAACCCCGGCCATTGCCTGCCCCTCGGAGACCAAAGGTTAACAGCATCTTGAATCTCTTCGGATCATGGTTATTTGATGCAGCATTTGTTCATTGTAAACTTCATAATGGGATAAACAGAGACAGCAGCATGACTGGTAAATATTGCTCAAGAAATACGTTATCATTTTTTCCTCTTTTATTTATCTTTTTACTTTTTTCTCCTCTGTTTTCAATCTTTCCTACCTGCAAGATTAATAATGTATCTTAAAAAGCTCTCTGTCTCTGACCAAGCAGTGTCTTGTGCTTAACCCCTTCCAGCTGAAGTAACAGAACTTTGGACTTTCCTTCCTGTTCTTTTTATGTATGTTCTGTGGTTTGGCCTTTAGTCTGCTTTCATTAGACATCTCAGGTTAGCTGCTTTTATTGAATTAAATTCCTTTCAGTAGGTGACCTGAAAGTTCCCTTCATGTCAGCCAGGATAATTACATTAATAATGCAGAATGAAGTTTTTGACAGAAATTTACTCATAAAATGTGTTTTTCTTGAAGTTTGACAGCCATTCACTCATTAATATGTATAAATATCAACATAGCTCTGATTTACAAAAAGCCTTTAACACCTTTCCATTGAGTTGAATTCATTTTAAGGACATTGAAAATTCATTTGTTCTGTAATTTCGTATAAGTAGTATAGAATTATATTAATACTTTAACCCGAATGCCTTTATTTAGATTTTATTGCAGAAATACAACTCTATGTAAATAAAGTTTTATATACTTTTGCCATTTTACCATTATGCTTGCAAGTAATGGCATAATGTATAGAGTGGAAGGGTGAGTGAGTGCAAAATGTATTGACTTTAGTTACTGTCATTTATTGAGCTTCTATTACACTATGCTAAACACTTCACATGTGTTAATGAGTGAATTGGTTGTTTGGTAAGAAATCACTTTACCATTGGAGTTGGAAATAGATTAAAACAAAAGGCTATCTAAATTCATTGGTTTATGCATCTCTTGGAGACTGTTAATTCTAGTAGCAAACTGAAAATAATTTAATGCACATAAAGGGCCCTTCTTTTCTCTCGGGAATGTATGTATGTATCAGCTCAGAACTAGGGTATATATATATGAGAACATTAGAAACATTTAATTCTTTAGGATGTTCTTAAAATATTTTTAAATATTTTAAATAATTTAGACAAGTTAGAACTATAGACATTTTCAGAAATATAACTTGAATTTGAATGTCTGAGTTGAGAGATTCCTTTGTTTAATTTATTTTGGCTAAATTTAGATACTTTATATATTTTGCCATTTCCATATTATGATTTTGTATATAAATTTGAAAATGATGCTTATTTATGAATAAGTAAATGTGCGTACTTACGATGACTGAGTAAAAATTAAAAAAAATTGTTTTGGATTATTTTCTTTATGTTCATGTGCTTTATGTTTTGAGTTTTTAAGCCATATTTATTAGTTTGTATTATATTTTATAGAATGAGCTGATCACTTTTATTTTCACTAAGATGTAATACTTACCATTTAACTTTTTGTTGCTAACACTAAAATCCTTGAATCCAGAATGGTTCAACTTGCTGCTTTGGTAGTAAGATTGCTTAAAGGGAATTACGAATTTTCCCACTCCCTAGGGGCTTTGTAACAGCTTTACTTATCCTCTTGCACCAGAAAATAGAAAACAGAATTCAAATGATATATAGCCAACACATTCTTACTTTTTTAACTGTTTGAGATTTTCCTTGGTGGGGAAAGGATCGAAACTTCTCTGTTCCTGTTGTGTTTAGAGATGATGAAAGCTGTTAACAATACCCAGGAGAAGTTCAGTTAGGTGTCAAAGTAGCTAAAGGGGATTAGAGTGCTTTTGGATGCCAATCTGGAGGTTTTGGGTGGAGTGGGAGGTCTGGGTACACTAACATTAGTTTTCTAAGTACTGGCTGTCATCAAGGAATTCTGTCATACAGTTCACCTCTAACTTAAAGTGCTTGCTTTTTTGTGTGTGGTTAGTTTTAGATTTATGTGACACTACACTAAGCTTTGTAAAAATAATATTGAGCTGGGAAGGGTTAATAAACTAAAATTTTAATGCACGTTATGGCAGTTCAAAACCTCAATCTTTGTAGTTGTGTAATTTTCTTCGTTCATTGTTTTGCATGATACAAAAATCATAATTTTGGATTTGAATGCACAATTTCTTATGTTTTTGAACTAGCTTGAAATATCATAAAACTCTTAACTTTTGAAAAGCTAAAAAGCTTCTTAACATAATGTAAAATTTCACCATCTTTAAAGTATTTTATAATTACTGCTGTCCTTTGATTTGTTTCCATTTATTTCTATTATCTTGCAGCATCTTTTATCCAAATTCTTCTTTCTTATAAATCTTGTAAGTAGGAACCAGAAGCTTCTCCTTAATTGCAGTCATGTTTTTATTTTTTTTCATAATTCCATTAAATCTTTTGATTGTCATTGTCTCTTGTAGTTTTTGCACTTGGGAAGGAAAATACTTTTCTGTGTTTTGAATGGGGAAGATTGTTGGCAAAAGCAAATTAATCTGCCTGAATCAGTCCCATTATTTCTGTACACTAGTCTGGTCATGTCATGAATTCCAGGACTTTGCACTAACTGTGTTTTGGCTTTTTTTTTTAAGCTTTAAGCTTACTTTTATACAGATTTAGTGTTTGATTTGTATGCATTCTGCATGTAGTGTTTTCCAATGTATTATTGCTGAATAGCTTACTCAGCACTAAAAATGGCTCATGGGAAGTTGCATAAAGATTTATGCTCAACTACATTCTGTTAAATCTGTTAATACAAAAGAATTAAAATATTTATGTAGAGTAATTAAAGATTTCAGAGTGATTTCCAATGCACTGTGAAATCTTTTGTTAAAAATGAAAGCAACTTTCGAAGGGCTTCTGTTTCAGTGACAATGAATGACCATGGTAATCTTTTTTACCAACCCAATTTTCTAATGTATCAACCTCAAGTTAGCTGCTATCTGTGGTTGTTAAAATTCATTCTCATTTTGCTTGGTTGGGGGATTCTTTGATGTGTATTTTGGAGTTGGGTGGGCTGGTGGGAATGCTTTCTCTTCCTCCCTACCCATTCCTCATCCATACATTGCCCTCTCCTCAAAGAATACAGACTAGCATGGGATTACCCATTCATTTCTGATGTTTGTCAGGAGTAATGTTTAAATTATAGTAGCTATTTTTCTTAATGCATTTTAAATGGAAATTCTATAGGGGGAGGAAAATCAGAAAATAATAGAAAAGCCACATTCTGTATTATATATCTGTATATTAATACAGATATATACAGATATACTCTGATGATAAGAAAGTCAGTTGAAAAATGCTTCTTGTAGAATCTGTTAAACTGACAGTGCCACGGTGAATGAATTGTTTACCTGTTTTCAAAGAAGGTTTCAGAGAGCCCTTTAAAACAAAAAATTAAGGCATAGTTGCTAAACAAAAGCATTTTTTTCTATTCTATTCAATAGATACTTAATGACACCAGTATTTGATCTTTGTGTCCAGGGTCCCATGAGCCTATTTGGCATATTGACAAATATAATAAAACCTTCCTTTTCTCTCTCCAGCCATTACAACACAAGCTAGCATGGAGTTTCGACGGAAAGGGTCACAAATGTCCACAGACACCATGGTTTCCAATCCTATGTTTGATGCAAGTGAATTTCCTGATAACTATGAAGCAGGAAGAGCTGAGGCTTGTGGGACACTGTGTAGGATTTTTTGTAGCAAGAAGACTGGAGAAGAGATTCTGCCAGCGTATCTATCCAGGTCTTAGAAATATTTTTCCATTTACCTAGTTTTCATAGTAGAACTCTTGTAATGTGGTTTACTAGGCTGAACTGATAAAGTAAATATTATTCCGCACTATCTGCAAATGTCTGTAAGTAATTGACATTTTTGTTTGAGTTCTTCTACTTTACTTGCCTTATCAGATTTAGTCAAGACTAAGATGTTTTTTATTTTAGAATTAACATGTAACTTTCAAACTTTGATTCGTGTTAATTTTAGAGCCATTCGAAGGAACCGCCCTAATTTATTTATACTTTTTCAACACAGTAAGAGGCACGATGAAAGATCCATTAAAAAGTCAGTTGTTTGTAATTAAAAAAAAAAAAGTCAGTTGTGACTCCTGCCTCTAAGGATCTGTTTTCTGGAATGAGTAAACCCATACTCACAAGTAGCAATAATCAAGGTCGAATAGGACACTGAGAGTAGAGAAACCTGGGTAATGTGTTATAAGCGACTAGCACTTAAACCTGGGGGCTCAGGAACGCATTAGGACATTGTATGATGATGCTACACTTGAAAAGGATGCTAGTATTTAGAGGATGTTAGGAAGTCAGGTGGGTTGTTAGGTACCATGGAGCAGGGTCCTTCAACAGTGATCTTAATTAAACCTTGCCTGATTAGATTCATCTTACTAAAGCTATGACTTCAGCCAGTCCCTGAAACTAGGAATCAGCTGATATTCTTCTTTCTTTCTTCAGTCCTTTCTGCCACATAATCTCTCTACTCTTTCCCCATCATTACACTTTTTTCCTAAATTAATTGTAATGACTTTTCTATTTTCCTTGAGTCTGTATTACTCTCCTTAGTTTATTATTCACATAAGTGCTGAAATTTGTTGTTGTTGTTGTTATGTGCCATCAAGTCACCTGCAACTCATAGAGACCCCTTGCACAATAGCTCTGAACCCTTCCCTATATAGATACCAATAAAAACACTCACATATCCCTGTTCCTGCTGGAAAAAAGGAATATACTGACTCTTATCAGAGCAAACAAGTTTAGAAACACCATGTAAATATGTAGTCGGCATCTCTGGTAGCCTAGTGGTAAGAAGCTGCTCTGCAATCCCAAAAGCACAACGTTTGAATTCACCAGCTGCTCTGCAGAAGGATGGACAGTCTCCTCTCGTGCAGTTTTACTGCCTCTGAAAATGCACTGGAGGATCAGCTCTGAATTGATTCCAACAGTTGGAATCAACAAGTATGCAGCAGAATGAGACATGGGCTTTTTTATTTAGATACCAGAGAATCTCTTAATGTGATTAAAACAAAAAGAAATTAGTTACGAGGAATCAGTGCTAGTTAATACACTCTCAGGCCATGATGTACAGTGGGGAGGAGGTTAGCTTTGAAAGTATTATTTTTTTGTAAACTGCCAGCAGATATTTATTAAATAGCTACTTTGTGCCAGGTGTTATACACAGAGAGTATTGCAGTAGTTAATAGATGTTCCTTTCTCTAAGATACTTGATAACCTTTTGCTAAAAGATCTGGAGTTTACTTGAGAGATGTGGGCTTGAGACCGATAAGATCAAATTCACTGCCATCAGTGAATGGTCTTTAAGCTGGTAGAAGAGCAAAACCTAGAAAATTAGGGGTGACAGCCTGAAGAACATCAGTATTGAGGGGCAGGAGGAATAAGGATGTGTTAAAGAAATTAGCCATAGGAGTTAGTAATAGGGAATAACTAAAGAGTTGTTGTTGTTGTTATGTGCTGTCGAGTCGCTTGTGACTCATAGTGACCCTATGTACAACACCCCTAAACTCTGCTCTGTACTGTCTCCGACACATCTATCCCGATTACCCCAGTCACTGAATCAGTCCACCTCATAGAGGGTCTTCCCCTCCTCCACTGTCCCTCCACCCTACCAAGCATGATGTCCCTCTCCAAGGACCAGTCCCTCCTTAAAACATGTCCAAAGTATGTCAGACGAAGCCTTAGAATCCTTTGCTCCAAGGAGCAGCCTGGTTTAACCCTCTCCAGGATAAAAAGTTGAATGTTTTAAAAAGCCAGAGTAAGTTAAGACATAGAAATAGCTCCTGGATTTGGCAATCTGAGGACTAGGTTATTTGCAATTGCAATTTTATTTGTGTTTTAAAGACAGAAGATTGCTTAAGTTGTCTTGAGGAGGGTGATCAGAAGATGAGAAAGTGGTTTCTAAAGAGTTTGATGGAGAAAAGAAAAATGAAGTTCTAGAAGAACGTGTACCAATGTAGTGGCTTTTCAGTGAAGGAAGACTGAATACTTCCTGAGTGATTAAGGCTTGAGAATAAGACATATTCCAGTATATTCTAAAAGCAGTGTTGTTCAGAGTAACCTTCATATCATGATAAGTACAGTAGTGAATGAACTTTGTTTTCTTTGTAGCCTCAAACCCCAACTAACCCCCCAAAAAAAAGTAATGAGGAAGGAGGGAAAGATGTAAAAAACATTTTTATGGAATACCCCAAAGTTTTACTCTCTTAAAATTTGATTCTGTAATTTTCCAGTTTAAAATAGTTCAACTGTTTTGGTTTTTTCACTTATAGGTACATTAAGCTTTGACTAATAGTTTCTGAAACTTCAAGAAGGTGTGTGTAATAGATGTCTTTTTTTTCTGTTAATAAACATTATTTAGATTTTTCTGTATATGATACTGAATTATAGTTTCAACTCTAGGAAGATATGTTTTAAAGGATAGAAGTAATGAAGAGTCAAATAGATTTTCAGATGACTATATAGAAAATGATTAGTAATTATGAAAATAGTTGGTCAGTAGTTTAAATTTTTTTTTTTGCTTCCCTAGATTTTACATGCTTTTAATTCAAGGTTTGCAGATAAATGATTATGTGTGCCATCCTGTGTTGGCCAGCGTTATTCTAAACTCTCCTCCTTTGTTCTGCTGTGACTTGAAAGGGATTGATGTTGTGGTCCCTTACTTTATTTCAGCTCTTGAAACCATTTTGCCTGACAGGTAAGCTATCATTTCTGCATCACTGTCTGGTTAGACTTGGTCCATGTGATGCTGGTCTCCAGTTTCCTAGTTTATCCTGGTCTGTTGTCTCCATGGCTTAAAGGAGCTCAGACCACCTTAAATGAAGGTAGAATACCCAGACCTTCCTGGTTTGTAAACACCAGCAGTTCTGATTTACCTGAGTGAAGCCTTTTTGACCTGACGTATAGAGATTAGAGCTACCCTAGTCAAGAATTGTCCTATATTTATAAAACCTTCAGTTTTAAATAATGAATAAGTTAGATTACAGTTTAACTCAATAACAGTTTTAACATCACAAAACAAAAATTGCACAAGATAAACTCCATAGAAGGTAGTTACTGTACCTCTGTGAAACCAAACCCAAAGCTTGTCTTGTAAAAAATTGGCACAATATGTACCCAGCTGTAGCTAAAAGCATACTTCAGTTTCAAAATACTAAGAATTTTTTTCCCCTTTTTTGGCAGAGAACTCTCAAAATTCAAAAGCTATGTAAATCCAACAGAATTGAGACGATCTTCCATTAATATCCTACTTTCTTTGTTACCCCTCCCTCATCATTTTGGCACAGTCAAATCTGAGGTAATATTAATGTTTTTGTATTCTATATTAAGTTTTGTATACTAATTTAAGTGCACTTTGTGTTTTAAAAATGGAAAAGGAGATGTTTTAAAAAATTCAATTTACTTACTTCCAGTAATTTAACAAAGTTGATGTATTGCTTGCTTGTTATTTCTTCAGTCAGTCTGCCTGCATGCTGTGAAATCTCCTGTTTAGGGATGCTAGTGTTTGACAGTTTACATGGTATGAGTTAGAGCTGTAGCACAGTGGCTAGTATTAGTTAAACAGAGAATCTTGCTTACTAGACTGTGCTCTATCCATTCTAGTAGTACCTGTATGAGCATAGTATACCCCACAAGTCAATGCTCAATGTTATTTATTTCTTCCACAGGTGGTCCTGGAAGGAAAGTTTAGTAATGATGACAGCTCTTCATATGATAAACCAATAACTTTTCTGTCTCTGAAGTTGAGACTTGTGAATATTCTAATTGGTGCCTTGCAGACAGAAACAGACCCAAACAACACACAGATGATACTAGGTTTGTACACACATCTCTCCCCACTCCAGAAATTTGGATATTACTGATCTTGAAATGGACTTTTCAGAATCAGAGGCAGAGTTTGCATTTTATTAGAAAATATGTAAAGAACCGAGATGAAGGAAAGAGAAACAGAAAAAACTCTGCTACTATGAAGTCACTCTTGACTCATAATGACCCTATGTTGTTATGTACCATTCAGTTAGAATGGCTTCATAGCTGACCCTCTAGTGGGTTTTCAGAAGCAGTAAATCCATCTTTCTCCTGTGGAGCACCTGGTGGATTTAGGTTGACAGCACAACTCCTTACCACTAAGCCACAGAGCTCCCAAGTGACCTGCTGCTGCTGCTGTTGTTAGGTTGCCGTTGAGTCGTGTATGACTCGGAACAACAGATCTGAACTTTATCCTATTGAGTCGTGTATGACTCGGAACAACAGATCTGAACTTTATCCTATCTTGTGCCATCCTCAGGATCCCTGACCTACTTGAGCCCATTGCTGCAGTCGCTGTGTCAGTCCATCTGGTTGAGGGCCGCCTTGCTTTTTGCTGATGCTCTGCCTTCCAAGAATGATGTTCCTCTCCAAGAAACTGAGGAGATAATAACACTTCCCTACAGAATTTCCAAGGCTGTAAATGTTTACAGAAGCCAGCTGCCACATCTCTTTCCCTTAGAGCAGCTGGTGAATTCACACTGCTAACTTTCTGATTAGCACCCAAAACTTTGAACCACTGCCAGGACTTCTGTGAAGAGAGAAAAGCAAGGAATTGTTTTCACAAGATGTGGCATTCACTTACATTTTAGACTTTCTTAATAATCTTGGCATTAGAGTTGTCGGTTGGTCTTCCTCGCTCTCCACCCCCATGTTTTACTGTAAAAATATATCCCAACATTTGCCACTTCCACAGGTTTTTTTAATATATACAATTCAGTGACTGGTTATGTTAATCTTGTTGTGTAACCATCACCACAGTAATATTTCTAGATTATTCCTCTACCACTAACATAAGGACTCAGTTTTTTCAATCTCCTTTTCATGCTTAATAACTACTGATATTTATGTATATATATTTTGCTTTTGCAGGGGCAATGTTAAATATTGTTCAAGATTCAGCACTTTTAGAAGCCATTGGCTGTCAAATGGAGATGGTAAGAAACAACGTTAGTACCTTAGTTCCAGACAGAATTTACCAGATTATCAACTTCTGACTTTATGTAAATTATAATTAAAGGTAATTAAGTATCCTGTCCCTATGATTTTTTCAAAGATAATTCATCGATTAGAATGATTGTATTGCTGAGGTTTTTCTTTACTCACCAGCTGTATTTTAGACTCTTGACAGATTCTGCATGAGATCAAGTCTTGCTAAATGTAATCTGGATTCATAGGTAGTGTTTACTCAAAAGTCCTCTATTTATTTTGCTGTGTTGGTAAACCAACCTGAATAGTCTTGGCACAAGCACCTGCTCTGTAATCCCTGCCGCTCCTCGTAGCTCTAGCACTGACTGTAAGCGAGCATGTAATACATTTTCTCCCATCTCATCATCTCATTACAGCCTCTCTTCATCTCAGTTTGAACATCCCTTAAAACACTAATGCTTCTAAATCAGAAAAACTTCCCGTAGATTTGTCAGTGTCTTCTGCTTTAATCTGCAAGAGAGGAGATTTCTGTGTCTGAAAGAGAGGCTGAGGGGCAAGGGGATTAACGAACCTGTGTAAGCTGAGCAGGAGGAGGAAAGGTGATGGCGTCCACCATGTTCCATGGGGGAAGGATGGGGCAATTACCTCCTCTTTAAGATTCGCAGCCTCAGAGACCCTATAGAGGGCAAGATAAGTTGGACTCACTCAGGGGCAATGGATTTTTAATTAATAATTTAACTGCTCTAAAAGTAATGTGTTTATAGAGGAAGAATATGAGAGCAAAAGGAAAACATTTGCCAGCCCCTAAACATTTATAGCACAGGAGAAAGGTGGAACATCTCTCTTGTGATTGACAGCATTTGAAAACTTGCTGGAGAGTCAGCAATGAGTCAGTTTGGACTCAACAGCACTTAACAACAAACATTTATGAGTAACCTCATGTGACGTAGAATAACTGTTACATAGAGTTTTGTAGAATATAACCTTTATAGAAGCAGATCACCACGTCTTTCTTCCGTGGATTTGAAATGCCAGACTTTTGGTTGGCAGCAGGACGCTTAACTGTTGCACCACCACCAGAGCTCTTTCTAATGACCATAATACTTTATTACCTGTATTTTATAATAAAACTGCATTTGAAGGTTTATGTATGTTTGTTTAGATTTTGTGTAGTGTTAAAGATTATTTTCCTGTCCTGAACTTTTGCTTTGAAGGTAGTAAGGTGTTTTCTTTAGGGATCCAGATTCATTAGCTTGAGAAGTCTAGTAAAGATGAAAACAGTAGCAGGCTGAGTTACAGGCCCCTATGGTGATGTCATTCTGTATATCCTCCACTTGATGGTGTCTGCATGCAAATACTCCAGCAGTTTTAATCCATTCTCAGTCGTTTTCAGGGTGCCAGTTTGGGCTGTTGTGTTTTTATACTCCATTTTGTTGTGTAGTTTTTAATGATTCACCCCCATCTGCACTTGTAAAGTATTTGAGTAGCCCTCAGACACTTAATTCCTTTTTATCGGACTAGGGTGGTGGAGAAAGTAACCTGAAGAGTCACAGTCGAACTAACAGTGGTATTAGTTCAGCAAGTGGTGGAAGCACAGAGCCCACAACTCCCGATAGTGAAAGACCCGCTCAAGCTCTCCTAAGGGATTACGGTAAGCTGTGTTTGTCTGTTTTGAAACCCAGTTTAACAGAATAACCTTGATGCGCAGATTCGTAAAGCAAACATACAAACAGGCCAAAAAAACCCCAATTGTGAGGTTCGGGATCTTTGGAGTTTTTAAGTGTCTTAGTCCAAAAAGCTAACAAAGAAAAAGAAAATCTTTTTAATTTGACTGCATAGCTTTTAGTAGCTAGATTTGGAGTAGTTTTAGATTTTAGAAATTATTATAGTAGATTGTCAGGGAACATTTTTGGTTTGTGTACCAGATGCTAATGATATCTGGAACGCAGTAAGATGTGGTCTCTGCCCCTGAGCACCCAGTTGAAGAGAGGACCAGTAATCAGTTTCAGCCATGTTGGAAGACAGTGACAGGATGGAAACCCAAAGGGGAGTCTGCCTTCGTGTTTAAAACCTGTGTCCTACCATATACTTACTATTTGACTTTTCAGTTTTAAATTTTAAGCACAAGCAAGGAAATAGTTTTCTTTTTTATCTTGTCAAATAAATTTCCCAACAAAGTACTCAGTTCAGTGATACTGTATATCTTGGGCACTTTATGAATTCTGGGAGTCTGTTTATCTGTGCCCTTTAGCTTTCCCCCACAAATACTAATAATGTATTGAAACTGTGAGTGTAACCCAAAAGTGGAATGAAGTCTAGATCTTTAGATGTAAGTTTATTTTTTTTTTAATTATCTTGATACTTTACGATCCTAGAGTTAGAGTCTCAGGCATATTTCTGTAGTTTATTTTTGCAATAAGTATCCTTGAGCATGCCACATATAAATGCATTATGTGGGTATTCAATACATTGAAATAATGTCTCTGTGGAGAAATTCTTTAATTTGCTACCGTATTCATTACACATGTAGATTTAATTACATACACTGTAGGATCGAAATTATGCTTACTTTCTATGCTTTCTAAAACATTTTAAAAATAATTTTTGCTTTACTACATGTGTTCTAATATAAATGTTTGAAGTGATTATTGTTTGTTTCAGCATTTTGAACTGTTGCTAGTGAGTTCTGCTTGTAATGTCGTAAAATATTTTTTACTAAGAAATCCAAATATGTGTTAGTGTCGCATGAATGTCTTTTTAATGATCATTCCTTTTTCTGTTGTCACTGCCCTCTTTCTGATAGGATCGACAGGTATAATGTCCCTACCTAAAGCTTCCTTTATAAATTCAATTTGTCCTAATTTAATTTCTTCTAATTAATTATTAGCTAAGAAAAATTACTTTTAAATACAGAATTGAAGGCCAAACAAAAAACCATAATGGCTTGATTTAAAAAAAAAAGGGTTTTTTTTTTGAAGTATTAGTCTTGGAAAGCTAAATGTTAAAAATGTTTGAAAAGGCCTTGCATGTGTTGATGGTTAAAACCCTGGAAGTAATGCTGACAAGTTTTCGAGGATAACTGCCAGCATCTGAGCAGGCTCTAAAATTCTAGTTGTCTCCATAAATTCCAAGAAAGGAAGAGATAGCCTTTTCATTGTTGGGTTTTGTTTCTTTTAAAATGTAGCTCTCTGAATTGTTAATTCAGAAATTTAAAATTTACATTATTCTGAAATTGATACAGAAACTGCCAAGTTGCAATGGATGCCTATGTGAAAGTGCCTGATCTGGGCGCTGAGGGCTGCTCTGGCCCAGCCCATGTGCCCCGTGCACTGTTCATTCAGGCTAGGTGCTCAGGCCAGCGGGGCGGGGAGCGTAGCACTATGTGGGTGCCCGTCATGGTCATGCTCACTGTGGCTGCTGTGGTCTGTGCCTGGTGGAATGCTGTGCTTCTCGTTACTAATGCTTAGTTGTTTTCCCTCCCTGTGGGATGTGGCATTGGGGTTATATCCTAGCTCTTAATACAGATTCAGCTGCTGGGCTCCTGATTCGCAGCATCCATCTCGTCACTCAGAGGCTCAACTCGCAGTGGCGGCAGGACATGAGCATCTCACTGGCGGCTCTAGAGCTCCTCTCTGGCCTGGCAAAGGTGAGAAGGACGGTTCTTTTGGTTCAGCCCAGCACCTTAGGCCTTCATTCTTTTTTCTTTACTTCCCAAGCCCCTGGTGTGGGAATTGCAATGTTAGTCATACTCAAGCATAGTTTACACTCAGAATGTACAAATTCAGCATCCAGTGTAAAACAGGTCCAGAAAATATATGATTTTTTCCCTGTTAAATTATAGGAAACATTTGCATACTTTATATTTATATAACTATAGAATAACTTGATATTTATATTTTCTATTTCCTTAACTCCTTCTGTTGTAACCCGTGGTGATCTTCCACTGGATTTCTCAGACTATAAATCCTTATGAGAGGAGCCTGCCCATCTTTGTCCTGAGGAGCAGCTGGTAGATTCAGCATGTGATGCACTATGTGATCTGAGCTCCTTATTTGCATATAATACCCTTACTTTTTCAGTGGGGATTTTCTGCCATTGTAGGTCCATCTAATCTTAATATATAATACATAAAATATTGTATCATGAACATGAAAATGCCATAATACAGATGTAGTAAGGAGAGATCTGTTTTATAAAGAATAATTCCCAAAATAGAATGCTTGAGATCATCTGATTTTTTTCCATTATCAGTACTTCATAAGAATTGGTTATATGTCCACATTTCTTTCATAGCTGTTATTTGAATTTTGTGGAACCTGAGAACTGAGTGAACATTTTGCCTCTTAAAAAGAAGTGTTTTCTAGTTCCCCAGCGGTCTCGTGGATCTGTCTCTTGCTTCAACAGTGTTTGGACGGAACAGACCCGGCGACTTCCCCCCTTCCAGCCTCCAACTACCTTCTAACTTCACCTCCAGGCCTAACCTCGGGACCATCTCAACCATCTCCTATTTTTGAGACCAGCTAACACCTTTTTTTTGTTAGCCCCCAAACCTCGACCAACTATGAGCTCTCAGATCCGTCAAAACTATTCCGCCAAAGCAGAAGCTGGCGTCAACCGTCTGGTAACCTGCACCTGCAGGCCTCTTACACCCACCTCTCTCTGAGTTTTTATTTTGACCGCGATGATGTGGCCTTGGAAGGCGTGGGACACTTCTTCTGCGAGTTGGCGAATGAGAAGCGTGAGGGTGCCAAGCGGCTCTTGAAGCTGCAAAACCAGCGTGGCAGGTGAATCCTCTTCCAATATATCCAGAAGCCATCCCAGCATGAGTGGGGTAAAACCCTGGACGCTATGCAAGCAGCCTTGGAAAAGAACCTAAACCAGGCCCTTCTGGATCTGCACGCCGTGGGTTCCGCCCACACTGACCCCCATCTCTGTGACTTTCTGGAGAACCACTTCCTGGACAAGGAAGTGAAACTGCTGAAGAAGATGGGTGACCATCTGACCAACATTAGAAGACTGGGCGGCCCTCAGGCTGAGCTGGGCGAGTATCTCTTTGAGCGTCTCACCCTCAAGCATGACTAGGGGTCTGCGGGGACTTGCAGGGAGAAACCTGCGTCCCCCTGCCAACAGCAACAAGCTTCTCTATCCCACCCTGATGTAGAATCTTATCCACCCAGAAGCCCTTAGCCCAAACCTTGGACCAAATGAAACAGCTGAAAAAAAAAAAAGTGTTTTCTGTTTTCTTACTATAAAATGTATAGGATTATTTTGTTTCTATCACCTCACTTTTGTGAGGAATAAATGAGATAAAATATTTATGATAGCTTGTGACTAGGAAGATGACACATGTAAGGTAGTGTTGTCCAAGATAATACAGCTCAAGTTCTTCTACACCCATGGAAGAAAGGTGATTTGAGGCTGTTAACCTGAGTTACTAGACAAAATAGGCAAGAAGACTCAAGATAGTCTCACTACCTCTGTGAACATACCTCAAAAATCCCGAGGATGGATGTGATTGCCATAGTTTTATGGGGAACAGTTACTGATAATCACAGGAAGTGAAAATACATTTGTGAGACCTGTGGAACCACATCGCTGTCAAAAGCAATATGGTGTTTCTAGGGACCTTTGGTACACTGTTCTTTCTCTAGGGTTATAGCTAGGAATCACTGGCAGTTGCTCTGCCTTCCTGCCTCCAAACAAACAAACAAATGCCACTGTGATGTTTGTGGTCCTTATTGGTTAAAGCCTGTGGTATCTCACCAGAGGAATTCACCTAAACTAACGGACAGAATGCAGTTAGTCCAGATGCTGGTAGTAGTAGCTAGTCATTATTTTTGTCTTCACAGTTATTTCATTTCCTCCACAAGTATGTGGAATATATTTCAGGTTTTAGGAATGACACTTAGATAATGCTTCCGTGAGCCAGGCACTGTTCTGACTACTTAGCATACCGGAAATCATTTAGTCCTTACAACAACAAAATAGAGGGGCATAAAGGGGTTAAGTAGCTTGTCTAAACTGGCACAATGAAGAAATGGAAAATACTTTGGATAAGGAAGTGCTTCTGTATAAATGGCAGAAACAACAGAAAACATCAAAAATTTAAAAAAACTATGCTTTTAAATACAGGCAACATCAGACAAGGACTAGTGATCCAAAGAACTCTTGAAACTCAATAAGAAGAAAATTAGCAACCCAATTAAAAATTAGTAAAGACACTTTACCAAAGAAGATTTGTGAATAATACATAAGCCCTTGAAAAGATACTCAGCATCATTTGTTGTTACATGTTGTTGAGTTAATTTTTTACTCTTAAGAACCCCCTAAAGGTTCTGGACTGTAATCTTAACTGGAGCAGATGCCAGCTCTATCCTCTGTGGAGCCACTGCATAGGGTTCGTGTATCAGACAAGCTGCTAACCATTGTGCCACCAGGCTTTGCTGTCATTACTTATTAGGGAAATACAATTAAAACCACAATTGGATACCACTACGTATCTGTTAGAATAGCTAAAATGAAAAATGCCATGTCACTTGTTGGAGGAAGAACTGATACTTCACACGCTGTGGGTGGAAATGTAATATACTAAGAAGAATGGGAATCCCAGGACACATAATTATGCTCATACAAAAGTTATACCCAGACCAAGAAGCTGTTGTACAGACAGAGCAAGGAAATACTACATGGTTTAAAATCAGGAAGGTTGCTTCAGGGCTGTATCTTTTCTCCACACCTATTTAATCTGTATGCAGACAGATCATTCAAGAAGCAGGACTATATGAAGAAGAATGTGACATCACGGTCAGAGGAACACACATCAACAACTTGAATTATGCAGACAATACAGCCTTAACTTGCAGAAAGCTAGGAGGACTTGCACCGCTTGCTGTAGATGATCAAAGACTACAACCTTCAATATAGGTTACATCTTAACATCAGGAAAACAAAAATCTTCATCACTGGGCCAGTGGGCAACATCATCATAGGTGGAAAAGAGATAAAATTGTTAATGATTTCATTTTGCTTGGGTCCACCAGCAGCCAGAAAATCAAAACATTTATTACTTTGAAGAAAGTGTGCTGTTAAGGATCTCTCCAGAGTGCTGAAGAGCAGCGATGCCACTTTGAAGACCATGGTGTGCTTGATACAAAGCATTATTTTTTCAGTTCTTTGCTGTGCAGCTGACCATTTGACACTAATAAAGGATGACGGGAAAAAATTGATACCTTTGAGTTATGGTGTTGGAGAAGAGTGCTAAATATCTCATGGAATGCCAAAAAGATAAACAAGTATGTCTTTGAAAAAGTACAGTCAGGGTGCTCCTTGGAGACGATGATAGTGAAACTTTGTCTCACATGCTTTGAGCTTGTTGTTAAGAGGGGCCAGTCCTTGGAAGGGACATCATGCTTGGAAAGAAGGGTAGTCAGCATAGATGGGACAGACCCTCAACAAGATAGAGTGATTCATTGCCTCTAACAGTGGGCTTGAGTGTGTCAGAGATGTTCAGGATGACACAGGATAGGGCAGGGTTCAGATCCATTGTACAGAATCACTGTGAGTTGTAGTTGGCTCAGTGGCACTTAAAAATAGCAGCAACTGCAGTTCTTAAAAAGTTACATATACACTTCTCATATTATCCTGCTATTCCATGGCTAAGAGAGAATGAAACATATGTGCACCCAGAAGTTTAGGCATAAAGGTTTATAGCAGCTTTACTTGTAATATCCACAAACTAGAAGCACTCTAAATGTTTATCAAGAGATAAATGGGAACAAACAAAAAAATGAACGGATAAGTTGTGATATGGACATATAATAGAATACTGCTCAGTACTAAAAAGGAATAAATAATGGATAAAAATGTGAAATGAATCTCAGAATATATTGTGCTGAGTGAAAGAAGACAGATGATAACAGTATATCTCATACGGTTTCGTTTCTGTAAAATTCCAACATAACATGCAAAGCAGATAAATTGTTTCAGGAGTGGGAAGGAAAACTATACGATTGTGTACAGAGATTTTTGTAAATAATGAGTATGTTCACTATCTTGAATATGATTGTGACTTCACAGATGTATAGAAAACTTCTCAGAATGTACACTGTAAATATGTGCAGTTTATTAGACATCTGAGCCATTTCACAAAACTCTGAAGCCTATAGCAGATCCCTGAGGAGTTGGACTAGCAGGATGTAATAGTGCGCATGTGTGTTCAATTGCCAGGTTGATGAGTACATCCAAGGGGTTCAGATTTCAGAGCATGACAAGCTACGAAAACGCTATACTGTTTTAGGGCCTGAGAGGTGCCACTATTTTTGCATAATATTAACATCTGAATCAGAATACATCTGACATGTTCTGTATATCTATCTTTATATGTTGTTATTGAGTACCATCAACTCAAAACTGACTCACAGCTGTCCCTCCAGTGGGTTTTCAGAGGCATTAAATTGCATGGGAGAAGATTGCCCATTTTTCTCCTGCAGAACAGCTTGTAGATTCAGACTGCATGCCTTTGGGTTGGCAGTGCAGCTCCTCACCACTATGCCACCAGAGCTCGCTCTATCTATATAAAGAAAATGTAAAAATCTAAGGCTTCCTGTGGTGTACCATGACCTCAGATAGATAAGACCTCAGTACAGATGCTTTGAAATTGGCACAGTGGTTCCTGACTGTTTTTGTTCCTCAATGACTATGCTCAGGTGAAGGTGCTGGTTGACTCAGGAGACCGGAAGCGAGCCATCAGTTCCGTGTGCACCTATATTGTGTACCAGTGTAGTCGGCCCGCTCCCCTTCACTCCCGGGATCTGCACTCCATGATAGTGGCAGCTTTTCAGTGTCTCTGTGTCTGGCTGACAGAGCATCCTGATATGCTTGATGAAAAGGTGAGTTTATGCTTGGAAACATTATGTACGGGAAAAGATTTCTTAAAAGAGATTATATTTAATTACACTAGTGGACATTTTAATTACACTATTGAACATTTTAAACTGAATATATTTGTTAGATTTCAATGTGCATGGCTAGTAGGTACTTTTGTCACCCATCACCAGATTAAGAATGATAATTGAGAATCAGATTGTGAAGATAGAGCACAGTTTTCCCATAAAATGTGCTAATATCAAAAAGTTTGATTGCATGCTATTTTACACACATGTATTTCTCCTTTGAAATGGACATAGATAGCTAATCTGCTTTCCCCGATGTTATATATAATGGTTACCTATAGGAAAGGCAGTCATAATAAGAAAGTTACAGTGTAAATAATGAAGGGATACATTAGCTGTTTGCAGAGAGCTTTAGGTAGTTTTAAAAATATTACTATTGATTAAATGTTAATCGTTATAGTTGTAGTTTCTAAAGTATGATGCTGGAAATGTGTTTAAAAACATCAGTAATTGATAAGCTTCCCTTTGCATAATCTAGATTGTTTTAACTATCCCAGGTTTAACTGAACTACTGCTAACATTTTTGTAGCCCACATTTCATGATGTACAATCTGGGTAATTTTAAGCAAATTTTGACTGATAAAACTGATTTGAATTTATCATTAATTTATTATCCTATCACTCAAATTCATTTCTTTAAAGGAAAACGTGTGTGTGTGTATATTATTGTGAAATTACATATATATCTATACATATATCTATCTATATCTATATCTATATCTATATCTATATCTATAGCTATCTAATCTATATATCATCTATATATCTATATCTATCTATCTATCTATCTATCTATCTATCTATCTATCTATCTATATATATATCTTAAAGAAAACTAGAAAGGCACTGGAATACCATCACTCCTACCACCAGAACACAAAACGGTTAGCATCTTGTTGTATTTCCCTGTTTTCTCATAGACAACATTTATCACAAAAATTAATCTACCTCTCCTGCTTCTAGGACTGCCTTAAGGAAGTTCTGGAGATTGTGGAACTGGGTATCTCAGGAAGTAAGTCCAAGAATAGTGAGCAAGAAGTCAAGTACAAAGGAGATAAGGAGCCAAACCCGGCGTCTATGAGGGTAAAGGATGCTGCTGAAGCCACTCTGACATGGTAAGAAACTGAGCACTTGAGGATTGTGCCCAGGGGTTAGATAGGGTTAGCTGTATTTTATTTTGTTTCATTTTCTTTTTTTTTTCTTTTCTATAATTATATTTTATTAATTTTCATAAACATTTACAGAGATTTTGGGTTTCCAT